GGGGGGGGGGGGGGGGGGGGGGACGGGGGGGGGGGGGGGTTCGCTCTCTAGGCAAAGCAGGTATGAGCACCTGAACAAAGGGAGTATCAGATGCAAGGTGTGGGGATTAGATGCTAAGGAATTAGCTCCTGATCTGAGGAAGAAAGACTTTCACGCATCTCGTTCTGTAGGTAAAACGGGGCTTTCCACAGATGGGAATACAGGAGATATGGAGCATTTGGGGGACGAGACAGTGAGTTGAGGGTGGGTGTGCTGCCCCTGAGGTGGTGCAGTGTCCGCACACCAGGCTCAGGTGGACGCAGCCTGGGAGGCGGAGCTGGCTGAGAGAAACAGATCTGGGATTCATCAGCATCTGGGTGGGAATGGATGAGACCACCCAGGCAGGGTCCTGGGGCAGGCAAGGGATTGAGGGCTCCCACCAGGGGCTCTGCGGTGTCACTGGTATACCCGCAGGGCTTGGCACGCATCAGCACATGGAAGCAGAAGGAACTGCTGACCATGCCTCACTGTACTGTCAGCTGAAGGCTGGGGTGGAGGAAAAGAACCATAGAAAGGAAAGAAAGAGGTATAGGAAGAGCCAGAAATGCTATCAACTTCTGGTTCACAGGACACTGCCAGCTCTCCACTGCCCTCAGGATCAAGCCCAAACTTTTAATGAGCTTAAAAGGTCACTCATGATGCAACCACTCTTCCTATGAACCAGGACTGCCCCAGCGGGCAGCTATGAATGCGCTAACGTAGATTGCCCATGGGCACGTGCAAGAGCGACCTCTGCCTAGAACGCTCCGCACAGCCCTCCCACCCCAACTCTACCCCTGGGCCTGGCAACTCCTGCTTATCATTCAGGTCTTGCTTGGATGTCACTTTGTCCTGGAAGTTTTCCTTTAATGAAGAAATCAGCCCTCCCTAATGAGGGAGTACCACATATCAGTAATTTGAAAAAGTTAAAGTCCTAACAAAATGATAAATCTTAATACTGTGCAGGACAAACACTATTGCCCCTTTCAAAAGCCTTTTTTGAGTTTGCTGAAGCTCGCTCCCTACCCCACTGTCATACTGAGTACCCCATGGTCTCTCCTCCCCCTTGCTGACCACAGGCAATTCTCAGAGGAGGTCTCATTTCAGGATGTAACTGTGTCTAAAAGAGTAATTCTGATGTGGTAAAAAACTGAGACTTGGTGAGGACCCAGCCAACAGCTGCTCAACAACCCTCTCTTTCCTTCTTGCAGGGCAGTTCTTGGTAAATGACAAAGTCTTACCATAAATTTTAGGTCTCTGGTCTTTCATTTTCCATACACCCTTGGCTCCTACGTCTAGGGTAAATGTTCCTCCAAGGGACTCCTGTACCTTCCAGTACATTCTCTATGGCTGTGTTCATCACATTGTACTTGCTGATCTGAAGACTCGTTGCCCAGTCTGTGACCTTCTCCCCACTACACAATTCAAGGGCAGAGCCTGGACATCGTGTTCACTGCTGGATCCCCAGCCTCTAGCTCCTGCTTAAGTAATAACAACTAAGCCATTACAAAGCATTCCTGTGTACAGCACTGTTCTAATCCTTTCCAGGTACCAAACTTACTTAGCTCTCACAGTGATCCTATTAAGACATGTACTAGTATTATTCCAATTTAGTAGATGTGGATGCCAGGCACAGAGAGGTTAAGTCACTGATTCAAGACCACAGATCCACTAAGTGGTGAAACTAGGACTTTAACCTGGTGGCCTGACTTCAAAACCATTCATAGATGGTGGCTGCTCAAAAAAGTAGCCTGTTTTCCTTTAAATTGTTATTTATTGTGCGATATCTCTGTGAACAAAATGTATAGTTTTTCTCCAGAATATAGTGTGCAGGAAGTAGCATGGCAAAGATACATACACCCTTAGCCACTGTGCAGAGGCATGGGCTCAGATTTTATTTTTTAAATTCTACCAAAAAAAAAAAGATTAAAAGCTATGAAAAGGCACAGGAATTGACAGTGTTGTGGAAGTAAAAGACAGTTAAAACCTATTGGTCCTTAAATAGCAACTTTCTAAGCACAGTATAGAGAATTCAACCCCCCATCCGCCACTCATTAGCAAGTGACTGAACCCATTAAACCCCAGTTTCCTCATCAGTAAATGGCAATAACAACAACACTGACCTTCCAGGTTGCTGTCAGCAACACCTGAAATAGAATTAATGTAAACTTGGTAGAGCCTGCACACAGTAACTCTGTAGCTATTTTTATAATTTACCTAAAATTAGGTAAGCAAATCAAGTTAACTGAATTTACTTAATTTTATACAAAGCCAGTAGAGCTTAATAAAATACCTCAAATATAATTCAATAAAATACTCAAGAGCCTCCTAGAGCAGTATTATAAATGTTACCATATGTTATCATTAATTAGCTAAATGAGTAGGACACAATTCAAATTCCATTCACCTATTTATTTATTCAGAAGGTTGAGCTTCTGAAGACACTCCCCCACATTTAATTAATAACGTTAAGTACAAAGTACTAAGGTTCCATCAGTTGTTGTACTGATAAAAACAAAAAAATGGTGATTTGTTGTTAAAACACATTAGTATATTGATTAATATCAAATGCTAAGTATGATATTAATACAAAACCTTCCATGAACTCCACACCCTGAGAACAGGGGGCACGTACTACTATTATAACAAACAAATATTCCAGACTTTTATCATATCACTTCATTCCCCATTAGATTGCAAATGAAGAGTACTACCAGAGACTGTCCCCAAAAATCTAATCTCCAGATAGAAATAATTTACATGAAATGCCACCAGCAACATGTATCAGACGACCAAAGGGTCATGAATTGAAACAGAAGCTAAAAAATCAGTAGGCTTTCCTTGAGAACAGAGTTAAACTGTTCTCCAGAGGTTAACAAGAGGATATTGCAGGGAGGGTGTATCCACTCAGAGTCTCCTGCAAGCCTAAGATCAGACTGATGGAAACCTTTATCACTGGCCAGGTTAACCATATGCTCTCAAACAGTACAGCACGACTGTACATAGATCTAAGTGTCACTTACAGGGACTAACTTCAAAATTAGTCTATATATTAATACAACCCGTTGGTGCAAGCCATTTTTGGAGTTCTTTCTTTTCAGAAGCACTGTAAAATTCTCTGGCACACACAGCTGCCTGAGGTGGGTTACTACCTCAGCAGACAAGAGACTCATCTCCTGATATGCCCTCCTGGACAGGCCAGTTCTGCATGGATTCCAGCACATGCTTTATATTTCCCCAGGGACGCAAATGCACTGGGGTGTACCATCTCAGGTGAGAGCTGGGCATGGTTCCCCACCAAATGGTACTGACTGGCAATTCGGAGTCCCGACTTGTAATCAGGGGGACCCAAGTTTGAATCCCATCTGCTGCCACCTTCTAACTCCATGACACTAGGCAATATTTAACTTCTCTATGCCACACCTTCCTCATCCAAGAAATGGGGATAATTCTACTTCCCTTAGAGGGCTACTGTGCAGATTAAATGAGCTAATATCTCTGAAATGTTAATGCAGTGTCTGCACCAGCCACCATTTACTGACTTTTTGCTCTTGCTTTTATAATGATTAATAACTAGTTCAGCCAATCTAGGTCAGACTTGAGTAAAGCTATCTGATGAGCAGAAACAAAAATTTACTTGGAAAAAATGCTTTTGCATTCCCTTCCCTGTTATAATTTCTTGAAAAGTGCTTAAACAAACTTTATTGAATTTGCTTGGCCTTTCTTAGAAAATGCTTCTCATATTTATTCAGCCATGATGCTCCAAGACTAGGCTTTATTGCGAAACACAGAAGCTGTGCCTGTAGCTGAATAACGGCATAAAACAGAAATAAAAATAATTCCCTAAATACAAATATACAGTACAGAGCAGCAAACTAGATTAGTAAAACAGTCCCCCATCTTCTTTTTCCATCTTAGAAACATTTGGTTATCACCTTTCTCTCTGAAAAATGCCAGATGCCATCCTCTATTCCCTATACATTTTTCTGTGGAGGTTTTGAAGAACTCTCTCTTTTCTAGTTTCTGGAAAAAGACATTTGCTCCCTCTTGGTCTGGCTTCTACCTAGCAATTAATTAAAAGCACGGGAGTCAATAGTTTACCAAGAATCTTTCAGTGGCTGTGCACATAGCTATGGCAAGATCAGAAACCCAAAGTTTTCCATTTAAGGGATTATAATTATTCTCCATAGAAGAAAGGGTTTAAAAACCAATTGCTTTAGGGCATGGGGATAAGTGGTGATATTTATAGGAAAATATTAACATGCCAGGTCAATGCAGTATATGAATCATTTCAAGTAAAAGTTGTAACTATGATTTTGGTGAACAATACAGAGAATTCTGTGTTCATTTTTTTTATTAAGAACTCAAGAAAAAAATGCCAACAATGATTTCTGAGATCCAGAAAGTCTAATAAATAATACTTAAATTCATAATTTTCACTAATTGGTTTTGGACTGCTCAGGGTCTTTCTAAATCAGCAAATTTTTACACTAAAAATAAGTTTATACTCCTTAAAGTGAATTTAAGTAGAATTCTGTGGTGAGGTATACAACAAAAGATTATGCTTTTAAGGCAGTAAGGAGCAAAAGAAAATTTACTTCCACTATGGGAAAAGCTTAATCATTAAGGAAAATAAGGCCATTTCCGTCTTACTTCGGGTGCTTGTGGAAAGAATTATCATTTTCCTGGGTCATGGTACACAGCGCACGTACATGTTCAGAGGCTCTTCAGGGAGGAGAATGACAGTCCTCGAGTTAGGTTTGTGTAGTGTGGCACATTTTCCACAGTGAAACCCACTCACCAGCTTTCCCCTCTGCTGGGCCGACCTGGTTTCTCGCAAAGTATACACATCCCCGCAGACGGAGATCTCACGCCACACCCCGGGCTGGGACTCCTCAGTGAAGCCCCCTCTTGGATGCATCACCAGGACACCATTCGTAGTGAGCCCATCCATGTGGCCATCAGGGTTTTTCCACTTTGCTGCCTTTTCCTGGAGAGCACACCACAGAACAGAAAAAGCACGCTAAGATGACTTTTAAAATGAAGAGGTTCTGGGGCTGCCTGGTTAGCTCAGCTGGTTAGGGTGCAGCCTTGTAACACCAAGGTCACTGGTTTGGATCCCCATACGTCCAGCTGCCAAAAATCCCCCAAAAGTGACTGCCCCCAAATGAAGGTATTCTGGAATCTCTTTAAAATACTATGTAGGTGCAGAAGGGAGGAAAGTGATAAATTTTCATTTCCTATTTAAAGCTAATAATCACAAGAATATGCAAGTATTCTGACAATATGCAAGAAGCACTAAAATAGAAGAATGATTTGTCAGTGGACACACATTCCACTTCTTCCTCACAGATTCTTTTTAATACCCCCCAGCTGCCCCATGTGATTCCAGAAATCTAGCATGTTTCCTGTCTTCAGTTGGACTTGTCCATGGCTTTTATCCTGCTATCTAAAAATTTAGAGTAGGATGAATGCTTTTTATATGCATGCATTATCTGGATACAGAAGGAAAGACAGTCATAAAAAAAAATCTTAAAAAATCATAAAAGTACAAAATTTCTAAAAACGTTAAGCCATCAAGTTGAGGCCATTATGTTTTCATACAAACCACTGTTTATATCCTCAAAGGTAGGAGGCAAAAGCAGCTTGATATAATGGCAAGACAGACATTCTTGGTTGCCTGTGCCACAGCGATGCCCCTTTTCTTCTTGGTGATAGAGACCAGATACTGTTCAAATGTTGGGGGGAGGTGGGTATAAATCCTGATTAGTATAAACCAATTATCGCAGCCCTCTTCCCAATGGCTGGTGTAGGGGGGTGGTCACATTACTGGGATCTAGCCAGTGAGACATGGATGACGTCTGGGAGAATTCCAGAAAAGGTCTCTGTGCTGTAAGAAGAGACGAGGAGGAAACAGCTCCCCTGCTGCCACCTCTTTGCCTCTTTGGCTGGAAGTTGTCACGTTGCAGGGGATGTCCGGAATTGCGGGAGCCGGGGGCCAGCTCTCAGACACAAGACCTTCCCTGTGGAGGCTGGCGCTCCAAGAGAGGCAGAGGGCAAGACAAAGAGAACCTGTGTCCCTAAGTGTTGCGGACACACTGCGTCAACCAGCCCTGGAGCTGGCCTTCCTTGGTGCTTCTTCTTATGTGGGACAATGCATTCTCATTATTGTTTAGGCCATTTTGAGTGTTTTTTGGTTTTTTTCCTCCTGCAAAATATCCTAATTCAAAAGAGAACTATATTAAAACTGGATATTCACTAAAACTTTTGGGGTTCATTTACAAGGAAACCCTGTGAGGGCAGGAGTTTTTACATCTATATCATCCAGTGTGGAACACAGCAAACACTCAATAAAACATTTTTGAATGAATGGATAAATAACTCAGTAACACTTTCCTTTGAGCTCTAATGGTCTAGATTTGGCCATTTATTTTTCTCTCTGAAATATACCTCTTAAATCTACCACCAATACATTATGCACAATGTTAATACATACACTTTTAAGAAAGTAATTACTGCATTATTATAACTAATATAGCAAATATCGCAAGTAATAATTCAGATTTTTAATAATAGCTTTTCCAACTGGCCACCTGAAGGGTGAAATCTCAGAATCTAACTAATCACGCAAAGCCAATGAAATGTTCTATGCCATAGTAATGGGTGTTTTTCTTGAAATAACAGACTAATAAACAGTACTTACTCCAAGAAATATGTTTTTGGAAGAGTCAAATCCGGCTGCAAATATCCGTGCTGTGTACGGCTCATTCCTGTCACACACTATCCTGCAGGCGAACCTGGAGATGGTGCTCTGTGTGATTTGGGCTTCGTCATTGTTCTGACCACCAGAAATTGTGTCTGTAACAACGAAGTCGATAGGGCTTTCTGTTGATCTGCCCACCTAAATAAATCAAATACGCTCATGATTCACTTGAAAAATATCAGGTTACCATATTTTCTCCCCATGGAATGGGTGTTCAGGATCCCTTTAACATTCATTCTATTTGCTGTGAGGGTCAGAATTTAATGAAAAATTTTTAGTTGTACCCCTTTCCCTATTTAACTAAGGGAGATATTATGGTAACTATCAGACTTTTAAAAAAAATTTCTACTTTATTTATTGTGGTATGAACACAACATGAGATCTACTCTCTTAACAAATATTTGAGTACACAATACAGTAATTTTTGCCTTTAGGTACAATGTTGTACAGCAGATACCAGGAACTTATCATCTAGCTTAACTGGAACTTTAATGAAAAATTTTTAGTTGTACCCCTTTCCCTATTTAACTAAGGGAGATATTATGGTAACTATCAGATTTTTTAAAAAAATTTCTACTTTATTTATTGTGGTATGAACACAACATGAGATCTACTCTCTTAACAAATATTTGAGTACACAATACAGTAATTTTCACCTTTAGGTACAATGTTGTACAGCAGATACCAGGAACTTATCATCTAGCTTAACTGGAACTTTACACCTGTTAGTCCACAGGATTTTAAATACGTAATAACTTCGTATAGCATACATTATACGAAGTTATACGAGTTTCTGTCAACCTCATGGAAGAGGGCAAAAAATTTTCAAGCTCTGTTATAAACTCAAAGCTAAAACCACCCTCTCCTAGAATGTCACACTGCTCATTCTCGGCTACAGAAACTCCTCTCTTCCAGAAGGGCTACATTCTGAGTTCATCCAAATAAATTAATGTCTTGATAAATTAACTGAAATTGACTGTAAAACATGAAATTTTATTCCAACTGGAATATACTGCTAGGATCATTTATTTTAAATCATGATAATTACCTGACTAGTCACATAAAATTTGCTTATCAATTCACTTCCATTTAAATCTAACCTCTAGGAAGGCTAATAAAATTTTATACTTTAGAACACAAGCCTCATGTTGCTTTTGCCAGGAAAAAAATCTAAGTCACTTTGCTACTGATAAATCACTCAATGTAGTAAACTTACAGCCTGACTGACCATTCTTTTGACTACTGAATCAACACCACATTATTTTAAAGGCAGTCATGCAGACAAGCCAAGACGTTTCTGAATTTCATGTGATATTCATAGAGTGCTGATATTCATATAGTAGCTATAGTGAGAATTTTTCCCCATTCAGTACTTTAGATTTTATATTGATAAGAAAAGTTGGGTTTGCCTGGATGTGAGCTGAAGCCAGTACAGGTAAGATGGTACTGAAGCAGCTGGAAGGACCTCCCTCACCTTTCCTCCACCAATTACCCACCTCCCTGCATCTGTAACTTTATGTTCTGACTTCCCTCCTATGATAAGTATGGAATGTTATTGCTCCTACCCAAGAACAATATTCTCCTCTTCCCAAGGACTTTGCTCCTGATATAATCTCCTCTCTCTCCTGAATTATCAATTTTTCCCTTTACACTAGATCATGCCATTGGCTCTTAAACACATTCTGGAGTTTCTCAAATCCTGTGGTTAAAGGACCAGTTTGTTTGTTTTCGTTTTAAATTTCAACCTGTCACTGATACCTTTAAAAAACACAACAAAAATGAGTACTAGAAAAATGATCTATGCTCAGATGTTTCAGCAATGCCAAACTGCTATGTAAGTTTCCAAACGCTACCTTGTCAATTTTCACAGTAGTGTTATTCTGTACTGTTGCATACATTTCACTGTTCATGGAGCACAGTTTGAATAGCCCTGCTCTGACTAGCCTCCCATCTTTAAAAAACACTTTCCTTCACCTGTAAGCAACCCTCAAGCTCTAGCCTCACTTCTCTGATTCACTTCACAGCAATACTTCTTAGCAAAACTGTCACTAGTTACTCCTTCCATTTCTCACCCATCTCTTTAACTTCCCTCCTCAACCCACTCAAACCGAGCTTCCCTTCCTACGACTCTATTGAAACCACTCATGCTACTGCTCCAAGTATCAACATATTCCTAAATCCAGGGCTTATAATGAGCCAGCGTTCCCTGGTACCCTGTATCTGGTAATAAAATAATGAACCACTTCTAGGCTAGTTGGTAAATAGCCCCCCCCTTCTCTTCTCTTTCTGTTATTTCCCTAGTAATCTCATTAAATCCCATTTATTAGCCTCAAAGCCCTCATCTCTCCCCTGAGCATCAGACTAGCACTCCCAGTCTCCACTTGGACCCCCTTTCAGCCCCTGGATTTCCCTATGTCACCGACTGTCTGGCATCCAATTTGCTCAGGCTAAAATTCAAACCCAAGAATTATCCTTGTTTCTTCCCTTCCTCCGCACCCACCTCAGCCCTCTGTAGAAACCCTGTCACCTGTACCTCCAAAACACATCTCCAGTTCTTCCACTTGTGTGATCTTAGTTCCAGTTACCATCTTCTCTTACTTGGATTCCATTTCCTTAGCCTCCAAACTGGTCTCCCTGTTTTCATACTTGTCTTCTAGATTCTTCCCCATACAGTAGTTAGAGATATCTCACAAAAATATAAATTAGATTTTATCTCTCCCCTGCTTAAAATGTGCTGACAGCTTCCCCAAATCCTTAGAATAAAACCCAAACTCTTCACCTGGCCGGAAGGCCCTCCCTCTCCTGTTCATCTCATTTCACCCCCTCCTCCTCTCTGCTGCTTGTTGACTTGGGTTCTTTGCACTTGGTGTTTCTCTGCCTGGAATGCTTGCTCATTTGTGGTCTGTCTCCTCTAGAATGCAGACTCCATGAGAAGGGAGCCTTAGCTCCCTACCCCCAGCAGCAGATGAGTATCTGACACAGTAAATACCCAAGAAAAGAAAATGACAGAGGATTGTGACAGTGAACTTGAATGCTGTGAAACACACACACATGCATATAATGTTTCAACATACTGAAAAAATGTAGATATTCTTTAACATTTTTCTCTTATCTAAACAGATGCTAATTAAATGTCACCATCTAAAACTACGTAAACCATCGAATTAAAAGCCAAACTAAACAAAAACCAAACCCAAAACATAAGGCATCATGGCACCCAGGCTCAAAGCCTGTGAAATTAAGAAATGGGAGGGGAAAAAGACCACTTTGCACTGGCTGCGGGACCCAGCCAGTCTCCTGCCCCTGTGGTCAATGTGCGTGTGGCACCACACTGCACCGCAGGGACTCTTGTGAGACATTCCACCACTTCCTCTCATTCCTTCCACGCACTAGCTTCCTTCTTCATATTTTACTTTCTTTTTTTTTTTTTTTTTTTTTTTTCTAAAACTACGTAAACCATCGAATTAAAAGCCAAACAAACAAAAACCAAACCCAAAACATAAGGCATCATGGCACCCAGGCTCAAAGCCTGTGAAATTAAGAAATGGGAGGGGAAAAAGACCACTTCGCACTGGCTGCGGGACCCAGCCAGTCTCCTGCCCCTGCGGTCAACGTGCGTGTGGCACCACACTGCACCGCAGGGACTCTTGTGAGACATTCCACCACTTCCTCTCATTCCTTCCACGCACTAGCTTTCTTCTTCATATTTTACTTTCTTTTTAGGCTCTTCTCTCTTGCCTTTCTTTCATTCTTCCTTCTCCACAAAATAATTACTAAGATCTTATTCTGGTTATATTAATTCAGACTTTCTCACACCTAATCAATCCAGCCCCTAAATTCAGATCTAGCGTTGCAATAATATTTCCAAGTTCTGAGCCCACTATCTGATTCCACTGTGGGAAACGCGGCACAAGGATCCTTTGTGATTCATTCTGATGTTCGGCTTTTAGATCCTCAGTTAACCTAGAAGTCACTTTAATGGGAATGGCCAAAACGAACAGCCCTCCACACGAAGGTCCATACTTGAGAAATGTGAATGCTTCAGTGCTTTTTGTCAGTGGTAGGTTTGGACACATAAACCTGCTAAAAAGAGGAAAAAATTTAAAATGAGCTTGTCTTTTTAATAATGAACAGCCCTCCACACGAAGGTCCATACTTGAGAAATGTGAATGCTTCAGTGCTTTTTGTCAGTGGTAGTTTTGGACACATAAACCTGCTAAAAAGAGGAAAAAATTTAAAATGAGCTTGTCTTTTTAATAAAAATGATAAATGTGTGATGTTTTCTTAAAAATATATACATTTTTCTTTGGCTTTCTATGCTTTATTTAGAGAGGTTGAGCTGGTACTGTGTAGAGAATGAGGAACTCAGGAAACCTAAACCTCAGTTCTGCCACGAATGCTTTCTCCGACCTTAGTACAAGTTACTTTTCCTTTCAAAGACCCAGCTTTCTCAGCTATGTAATTAAGAGGTGGGTATAAATTGGTTTTTCTCAGAGGGTGGTCCATGAACCACTGATGGTCTCTGAGACCCTGTCAAGGGGTCCAGGTCCATGAGGCCAAAATTCCTTTCATAATAAAACGAAGAGCCATTTACCTTTTCCACTGTGTTGGGTGCTAAAGCAATGGTGGGGAAAACTACTGGTGTTTTAGCACAAATCGAAGCAGTGACACCAAAATGTAAGAATGGTCATTATATTATTCATTGTTATGGACTTGCAGTTTAAAAAATTATTAATTTATTAAATCGTCAGTCTTTCAATAGTCTTCCCATTCTGTCTGACAAAATGGGAAATACACATAAAGCACTTATAAGTTAGTAACAGGAAGTTAAAGAAAGCCAACTAAATCTTTAATTCATACTGCAGAGATGAGAAGGAAGAAAGTGAACAATTTGAGCAGAATGTGTCTGTACAATAGTGAAGAGGACACATGTCACAACATGTCACTGAAGAGACAAGTGGAGCATCCCTAATCCAAAAATCTGGAATCCAAAATGCTCCAAAATTTGAAACTTTTTTAGCTTTTGTATTTTCTGATTAGGGATGGCCAACTGGTAAGTATAATAATGCAAATATACCAAAATCTAAAAAACTTCTGGTCCCAAGCATTTTGCATAAGGAATATTCAACCTGTACTACATGAAATTTTGAAAAATTACTAAGAAACAAGATTCTCCTTAAAGAAATTCAGTATCTCCCATTTGAATAGTATTTGACTTACCTATTACATGTGCCAACCCAGTAAACTTTTGATTTTAAGTGGTAAAAAACATCACTGACAGTTATCAAATATTCTTGATTAACTTTTTAAAGTATTAAGAATCCTCTGTATCCATGTAAAAAACTCTTACAAATCTTTACTATAAGTAGTAAGAAAAATCTTATAAGTCTTCACTACAGTAAGTGCTAAAAAAGTATTATAAATTGAAAAAGCATAATTTTGGTAAGTAATAAAAAAAAGAAATAATTGTGGAGTTCCATAAATATATCAACAGGGAAGTATATGAATATACTTATTAGGAAGAGATTTGCTTTGATAGGATGAGAAGAAAAGACATTTAAAAGATTATAAAATGGAATGGCATAGAGAGTAAAACTACTGTTAATATTTTGCCCAAATCTGATAAATCTTTCTTTTGAGTTCAAACTGGCACTTATAACTATGTCCATGTCTGTGATCATATCTATCTGTATTTCATCTGTCTGTGTGTATGTCTAGGATTGTGAGGTTTTTTTTGGCGTTTTTCTTTTAATAGCTAACACATTCACACTGTTCCAAAATCAAAAAGTGTGAAATATCTCCCTGTATACCACCAACCCAGTTCCCTTCCCCACAAAGACAACTGCTAATATCTTGTTTATCCTTTTAGAGATTTTTAATGCATATGAGCATTATTTAAAGCATTTAACAATAGTAATTTAACATTTAATATATTTCATATTATTTAGTATGTTTAATAAGTTATTCAATTTATTAATATTTAACATTAAGTAGTCTTAACTGAATATAATACTATCAATATGACTTAATATACTTAACAATACAACATTAATATATAATTCATTTAATATGTTTGTAGCACTTTCCGTGTCCACACATAAAGTGTTTCCTTATTCTGTTTTACTGCCTTGGAGAACTACACTATGTAGCTGTACCAAATTTACTGAACTGGTCCCCTACTGAAAGACATTTAGGTTGTTTCCAATCTTTTTTGCTATTAAGCAATGCTTTGAGCAATAACTTTATACAAATGTCATTTTGCAGGTATGTAAGGATACCCCTGGGGTAAATCTCTATAAAAAGAAGAGCTGAGTCAAACCATGCAATCATTTTGTATTTTTCATAAGTATTTCCAAATCATTACCCCATAGAGGTTACACCAATTTATAGGATGTAAGAGAGCATCTGTTTCCCTCACATCTTTGACAAAACCTTTTGGATTTCTGCAAATCTGTAAGTGAAGAATGGTATCTCTGTGTGATTTTAATTCACACCTCTCTTTATATAAGTGAGGTTGACCATATTTTCTTATTTTTGAAAGCTATTTATTTTCTCTTTTTGATGAACTGCCAAATCTTTTTCCATTTGTCTGTTTGACTGTAGTTCTTTTCCTCAGCTGTTTCTAGGAGTACCTCAGATATTTGAAACATTAACCCTTTATGATCCCCTCACTTGCCATCTGCCTTTTGTTTTTATTTTATTATCTTTTGACCAAACAGAAATTTAACTATCTAAAAGACAAAATTTATGAACCATTTCTTTTATGGTTTGTGGGTTTTGTCTCATAATTTTGAAGTTACAGGATAATTCCCTATATTTTCTTCTAATACTTCTGCTTAATTAAAAAAAAATCTTTAAATCTTTGATCTACTTGAAATTTTATGTTGTGAGGTGCTGACACAACCAGGATAATTCCCTATATTTTCTTCTAATACTTCTGCTTAATTAAAAAAAAAATCTTTAAATCTTTGATCTACTTGAAATTTTATGTTGTGAGGTGCTGACACAACTTTTTTTCCCAGATGGCTAATTTATACCATTTGTACTATTAATTTTAAATGTGATGGATACAAGAAAAGCAGATATTTGTCCCAAAGTTTGAAAGTTTAGACAAAGATGATTTTGCTTTAGGCTGTTTCTTATCAGTCTGAGGTGCTGATGTTCACAACCACTGCCAATATATTTTTAAATGATATAGAATTTTATTTCTTTCTTGACAAAAAGGACTGATGTAGGTGGTCCAGATTTGTCGTGTACTTCAAGATGTTACAGAAAACAGGGTAGAAGAGCTAGGGCATTTCTTTCTAGTCTCATCTCTCTTTCATAGATATGTTTATATGTGTGTGTGTGCATATAAAAAATAAAGTATGGTCTGGGCATTTGCCTGTTCTCACTTATCGTATTTCCTATTTAATAATCATGTAATGGCTACACAGTGTTTTGCATCTAACTATACCAAACTGTAACCATTCTCACCTACTGCTGGAAATGTAGATTTCTAGTTTTTTATTAAAATAGACAAAAATCATTTATATTTTTATTGGCCATTTATATTTCTTCTTTTTAGAATGACACATTTTGTTGTCTATTTTTTAAAGTATGGGAAAAGAAATTCATATATTACAGGTATCAATTCTTCGTCTACTTGATTTGTTGCCTAAATTTTCCCTAGTTTGCCATTTAATTTTCTTGACCTTCACAAAGAAGCTAAGATGTGTAAAATAAAATTTATTTCTTCATTTGTTATTAATCCTTCTCCACTCCAAGAATATGAGTTCTCCTAAAGTGTGTTCTAGGACTTTTTGTTCCTTCACTTCCACATAGAAATGGTTATTCTCTCTAAATTTATTAAGCACAGGACATAGTGTCAGTATCCATCATACTTTTAACATTTGCTTCACATTATTTATTTAATAATTTAAATGCAAACCCTCATTACTCCCAACTTACGTTTCCTTTTTTCCTTTATTAGCCTAAATTTAAATTTTCTGTTGTTTTAATGTACCAAACCTTGGTTATATTTATTAATTCTCTTCCTTTTTAATTCATTTATTGATGATTATTTATTTCCTTCCTCATGCATTCTTTTGATATATTTCTGGACTTTCTATTATATACCACTAAAATTATTTCTAAACCCATCCCATCCTGAGTCATTTTTTTAAAAAGAATTTTTGAGATAAATGTTTAGTTGTTTGATTTTCATTCATTCATTTTTTAAAAAAAATAATAAAAGGACTTAAGGCATTTTCTTCTGAGTAAGAAGCAGCCACATCCCATGAGTTTTGTTACATAATGCTTCCACTGTTATTTTCAGAATGGTCTATAATTGTACTTTGATTCAAGTGTTATTTGGAAAATATTTTGAATATGCTGGCTTTTTTTTTTTTTTTTTCCTTTTTGTCTTTTTTCGTGTCCGGCAATGGATCGCAACCCTCAGTGTTGCGCCCGTACCAGACCGGGACCGGCAACGGGATCGCAACCCTCGGTGTTGCGCCCACACCTCACTCAGCCAATGAGCAGGAACCGGTCTGTATGTGGGATCCGAACCCTCGGTGGGAGCACCGCCGCACTCCCAAGCGGCGCACTGTAGCAGTGTGCCACCAGGCCGGCCCAGAATATGCTGGCTTTTAAAAGTAGGTGGCTTTAAAATATTTTATTGCTATTAATGTCTATTTTTATTGAATTTAGATCTGCAAATGTAGCCTGTATAATTTCCTTTTACAATTTTAGAATTAACTTTTTTCTTAACCTTTGAAAAACCAAACAGAAATGATCTTTTTATTATTTTCACTTCATTCCCCCAGGACATTACCAAACACCTCTGTGCTTGAAGTTCTGATTACATATCAAAATACAGAACTGAAGGGAAAAAATGCTAAGGTTTCCAGTAAAAAAGAAAGATGTTACCTGAAACATATCCGTATCTTTATCATGCGTGTACTCGACCACCACAGTCTGATTTCTTGACAAAGTGTAGGATATACTGTGTTGACCTTTGCAGCTGATAGCCTAATAATAAAATTTTATAAATATAAAAACTCATTAAAATTTCATTTTAACAACTTCAATTAACAACGACAACTCAATCATAACTACAATTCTGTCTATAGTTAAGAGTCATCATTCTACCAGCAACACCTAGCACAAGCCAGCATTTTCCTAACAGTCATGGCCTGTCCCTATGCTCTGTCCCCTGAACCACAGAGGAGCCAACAGTCACAATTCTGATTTCATCTAATATTCTGTATTATGAATAATATTTTATTTAAATCAAATAAAAGTTAATTTACTAGTTTACAATACTTGACTTAATAATATTCCCAGAAAAACATAAACTTTCTCCATATTACTAAACTCAGTGACAGAATTTTAGGCTAATATGGCGATTTATTCACAATTTTAAAATTATTTCACACAACAGATAAGTCAACAACATTTTGTTATATTATCTATCCTAGGTGAGAGATATTATAAGCATAGTAAAAAAAATCATTGAAAAAAACTATGGTCTATCAGGATTTCTATATAATAATGTACTGTTCTAGCCAATGATAACCATATTGGTGCACTGCTCTACATCTTATTTAAATCTTGTATAAGCAGTTGCTTAACCCAGATCTTTTCTAAATTAATAAATAAGGTAGTTAACTTAGTTTTACCCCTTTTCTATTTTTAGACTAGAAAAGCAAGTTTTTTTTTTAAAATAATCTAGAAATAACAAGATAAGATACTGCTCTTATTTTTTCCATAATGATATATTTGAACACATCTTACGTTGTACTCATATACTTTTAATATTTCTAAATTAATAAAGAAATTGATTTAAATTTGACTCCACATTATTTCAATTACATTTTATCCATTCTATTTTAACCTAATTTACCTTCATTTCCATTCTTTTACATTAAGTTTAATGAATAAAACTTTAATAAGGCTTTCTATTAGACATTTATTGAATGATGACACTATATGAAGACCAAGAAAGCTTGGAAGTAGCTGGACACATATAGCATGTTAATGAAAATGTACCAAACATTTATATTTGACTAATGTAATTGCATAGAACAATAAATAGTACAACATTCCAAATCAACTTTGAAGTTAGCTTGGTTAATTTCATGGTTACTTAATAATATGCCTTGAGGAACTTCATGATTGAACTGATATTTTATTTTACTTGTTTTATTAAGATAATATAAGTATTAGAAATAATACAGATCTTTAATATGACTGGAAATCTCAAAAATACTTCTTGAACTATTTGACTCTACTAACAATCATAATCTTAAATTTTCATTGGTCTGAGTCAGATAAACTCAATGGTATTGGTTGTGACATTTTTTGAAAGCCAAATTTAAAAAGAACTATTTTCAGTTTAAAATAAGGGGCTGTGATGCAAGTGTGAAGTAGACTGTGGTATCATTTCACAATGTGTATGTATATCACTTAAAAAATGTCCCTTGTATTTAAATTGCTTTCATTTATAAAAATATCAACTCAAACAGAACTTTCTTGGTATACACATGTTACATAAAAAAAGAATTTCTATAGTTTGCCAGTTACCTGCAAAACAAGGAGTTAAGGCTGGCCAGTTAGCTCAGCTGGTTAGAGAGCAGCCTCCTAACACCAATGTCAAGGGTTTGGTTCCCCATACTGGCCAGCCCCCCACCCCCCAAAAAAACTTTTTTAAAAAAAGGAGTTAACATGCCCCTGTAACATAAAACCTTTTAAAAGTTACACATTTTTTGTATGATGGTGCCTTCTTAAGTACAGTGTTTCTCAAACTTCAGCAAAGTTGCCTTAACAGGAAGAAAGTTACCTGAACCTTGGCGATATATGGGACAGCTGCCCTTAAGTGAAGTTTCCCATGCTTAAAACATCTTACCTTAAATTATAAATTTTGTTTTCTATTCTGTAACGTGCTTGCTAGTTTTAACATTTAAACATTTCTCCCAAATTTGCTGGGAAATCAATGCCCCAGGAAGATTCGCTATGCGCCACCCCATGGCCTAGTACAATCCTGGGCAAAGTGCCCTGGAGACACGTCCATGCCACTTTGGGAAGCATAGAAACCACCATTTCATAGGTTCTAAGTCGTTACTGGACCTGATTCTTCCGCAGTGGTTTTATTCTAAAAAAATTCTTATGACCCAAACTATATAAGCCTATGTAACACCTGAAAAAGTCTATTTATATGGAAAGCATCACCATGAGTGGAAACTGCCCACAGCAAAGGGGAGCCTTGCCTAGGCCCCAAACAGAAAAGGAAGCATTGGTATATTGAGGCCTTGAATGCCTGATACAGGACACGTTGAATGTTAAACCCATTTAAAGAAAATCTGTAATTTCCAACTTCTGCCAGTTATTTATGTCGCTAAAGGTGAATGGCCAGGGCTAGGAAAGGTGAATGCTCTTGGGTGAGGAAAACACTTTTTCTGTGCCTTTTTGATTAGGAAAGTTCTAGCTGAGGACTATGATTTGGAGGCCTCTGGATTTGGGGAAGATGAGGATGTGGGAAAAGAGACTGTGCAAGGAGAAACAAGTCTCCAGAAGGTGGAGAGTGGCTCTGATGCAGCAGGGAATGCATGCCCTGTAGTAGAGGTGGCTGAGGAACTTCATAATTAGCATGACATCCACCTCAAAGTTACCTCCAGTGCCAGCAGGGATTTCCCTCTGGTAATACCAAGCCAGGAGAGGAGTCCTGCCCATACGAGATCCCTGAGTGCTGGTGTCCAAATAGGCCGCACCCGCAGGGAGCAGACGCATGGCGATGAGCTGGCCCAAGAAGACTGAGACTTAAGCCAGAACTAGGATGTGGAGCAAAAAAAGGTGGCAGTCGAAACCAGGGCAACTAAGGCCACCTGAGAAGTAATGGAGAGGTGCAGACTTCCCTCAGTTACAGGATCTTGTTTGCATATATTACAGTCTAGAGTGGGGTCAGATTTAGGTTGCTGGGAGAAGTTAAGAGGAGAGTTTAAGATTGAGATCAATTTTCACTTCCAATCTAGGGTCATGTCTTACAGAGACATCTCCAAGTACATAAGGCATGAGCTCTTTTTTGTTGATAGAAGTATCAATTTTTCAACAGTGTTTTTAACATTTAAGATATGATTTTCAAAAATACAGCCTCTAGAAAATTAAAGATTCACTGTCTGAGTCAATCATTGTAGGTATTTTGGAAATAAAAATTTCCCCAAAGCACCAAGTTGTTTTGAAATCTATTTCTGAAATATCAGAAAGGAGAGTAGATAGGGCCTTCTCTTGGCATAATAATTTAGTTTTAACACAATTGCTGTAAAATAATGTTATGATTTTACTAACACTGCTTCAAATTTTGAAACAAAGCCATCTAACCCTGTAAATAAAACTGGCCCAAGCAGCTTGTTGGGTTGACAGTACTGATTTCCTACTTTTGTATTGTGTAGCTGTGATGAGAAGGCAGGTCACTGTCTCTGCTCTCACAACACTGTGAGCACCGCACAGGTCTTATTTATTCTTTCATCTCCAGTATGGAGCACATGGCCAGTGCTATGGACTGAATTGTGTGCCCCCAAATTCCATGCATTAGAAACTTAACCCCTACTGTGACAGGGTTAAGAATGTAGGAAATCCTACAATGGTAAGTGAAAGGTGGAGCCTTGAAGAGGTGATTAGATTTTGAGGAACATGCCTTACTGAATGGATTAATCCATTGATGGTTTAATGGTGGTCATGGGTATGGTTCTGACAGCTTTAAAAGAAGAGTGCATGACAAGCTCTCTCTCTCTTGCTCAAGCCATATTTGCCACGTGACACCCTGTTTTGCAGTAGAATTACAACCAAGAACAAGGCTCTCACCAGATGTGTTTCCTGGACTTTGGACTTCTTAGCCTTCAAAATGGTAAGCAATAAATATTGTTTCTTTACAAATAACCCAGTTTTGGATATTTCTGTTATAAGCTACAGAGAAAGACTTAATAAGGTGGCATTCAATGAATGTCTAATGAATGAATGAATGAATGAATGAACTGCTACAGATACAAGATGAGATTCAGAGCTTCTTTCCTCGGGTCTTCCCCTCACCTGCCCTACTCACTAGCAAAGTTACCAATAGGGGCACTCTCAGATCAAATGTTTTGAGTCTATAAAAGCCAGTTTATTACAGTTGTGAATTTTACTGGGTTAAAAATGTACAATTAGGCAACTACAGATACACAGAACAAAGAATTCCAACTTTATCCAGCTTAAAAAATTAAGTATTACTTTGCAATCCTAGATGCCGAGACCAGGCCCTTTCTGAGCCAAGACATTTTCTTCTCAGCTGAGGATCTGTGTTTTCTTATCTCTACACTACTTGTGTCAGAGGCTCAGCTCAGCCAGCCTTTGCCATTCAGGGATGGGAACACTCAGAACTGGTTGTCCTGGTTAACTTCCAACTAAAAACTAAATGTCAAGAAATCTCTGAGTCTCCAGACATTAAAACAAACACGGCTCATATGTCTATAAGAATTTTCTTCCTCTTTTAAGTCCATATGTACATACAAAAAGGCACTGATAGAGATTTATAATATGTAATTGTTGGGAAAATAAAATAATTAAGTCAGGCCCCATCACCTCAGGTCCAGTTGGGGGTGGTGCAGCGCATTCTTTGTAAATAAATTGTGTGTGGGTGGAGTTAGTGCTCATGTGCGGTGCCGTCACTTGGCTGGTATTGACTGCCTCGGGTGTCCACCATGCATGGCCATGCTCTTGAAACCTATGGCTCCAAGGACCTTTTCGCCAGTTACCTAGCTCATAGACCAGCGTGTGAGGGGTCTGGTGACCCAGAGCCTGGTGTGTGAGGGGTCTGGGGACCCAGCCTGGTGTGTGAAGGGTTTTGTGACCCAGTCTGTGAATGGGCTTGAGGGGTCTGTGAGTTCCAGACCCAGCCCTAGCTCGACAATTGGCCCAGTCGGCAGGATTACAGGCAGATAAAAGATCATGACAATTGGCATAGTCTGTGACAGGATTCTGAAAAGATACAGGAGCCG